TGTGGTTTATCAGTCAAAAGGAAACAGAAGGAGAGAAGGGAAAGAGAAGTGAGACGAGATAACAAGGATGCCATTTTGCTGGAAGCGCAACTGTATGTGGCCACAACAAGCAGGCCAGGGAGGCTCAGGCGGGGCAAGTCTCTCCCTAATTAGAAAAAATCAATCTTGCTATTCACAGGTAGGCGCCCTTCCTCTTCAGGAAATCGCCTTTCCCTTATTTTGCTTTTTGAAGCGAATAAGACAAACAACAGATAAGAAGAGAGGACAGGGAATGACTAGGTAAAGAGAGGAGCTCTTCAATTTCCTCCCTATCTCTTAAGTTACTTTTCCTTCTTGGGCGGGTGTCCTTTTTTCTTCCTTGAAGATGCAGAAAACTAGCAAAAAGGACACCCGATCGCCCATTTTCTTTTCAATTCCCTTCCTTATCTCCTATGCTCTTTTCCTTATTCATTGCAACAGGAGAATACAGGAAAAGGGCCTCCATTCCCCTCTTCTTCCTTTCTTGTGTTTTTTGTCATTTAAAGGGGAACAGGAGAAGACAAGGGAAAGAGAAGGAGAGAGCAGAGATAAAAGGAACACAATTCTAATGGGAAGAGCCAAGAAAAGAATAGAAGAGAGATGAACAAAGAAGATGGAGAGACAAAACAAGGCGCAAAGAAGATGGCACTCTTCTTTATCTATCCTCTCGCCCTTCTCTCTCCCTTCCCTCTTTCTTTTCGAAACAGAAAAACTAAAAAGGAAGAACTTGAAAAGGAGAAGGGTAAGGAAAAGAGCAGAAGAGACAGGCCGAAAAGAGGAATATGATGAACTGAAAAGAAGAGAAGACACAAGAAACAAGGAGACGGATAGCACTCTTCTTTATCTATCATCTCTCCCTTCCTTGTCTCTCGCTTTCCCCTCTACAATTAAAAAAATAGGTGCCCTCTCTCCTCTTCAGGAAGCCCCCTTGCCCTTATTTTGCTAGCTTTCTGAAACGACAAGGAAACAACACATAGAAAGAGAGGAAAGGGAATGAAACAATAGGCAGTGGAGCTCTTCCGTGTCTTTACCTATCTCTTTTCTTGTTTTTCTTTTTCATTCAATAAGGAAAAGAAGCTTCCTTTGGTGTGATTTTGAGATTCAAAAGAGAACAAGAGAAGAGAAGGGAGAGAGAAAGGAGAGAGGAGAGATCAAAAGGAAGCAATTTTCATGGGAAAGCAATGAAAATCATGGAGGAGAAATGAAGACAGGAGACCGGGATCCCCTTGGCACCCTGCAAAAGTCCTGCAAATACCACACAAAACGGAAAAGGGTAGGAACAACATTTGCGGGTCAAAATTTGCCGGGATCCCCTTGGCACCCTGCAAAAGTCCTGCAAATGCCACACAAATCGGAAAAGGGTAGGAACAACATTCGCGGGTCAAACTTTGCCGGGATCCCTTGGCACCCTGCAAAAGTCCTGCAAATACCACACAAAACGGAAAGGGTAGGAACAACATTTGCGGGTCAAAATTTGCCGGGATCCCCTTGGCACCCTGCAAAAGTCCTGCAAATGCCACACAAAACGGAAAAGGGTAGGAACAACATTTGCGGGTCAAAATTTGCCGGGATCCCCTTGGCACCCTGCAAAAGTCCTGCAAATACCACACAAAACGGAAAAGGGTAGGAACAACATTTGCGGGTCAAAATTTGCCGGGATCCCCTTGGCACCCTGCAAAAGTCCTGCAAATGCCACACAAAACGGAAAGGGTAGGAACAACTTTGCGGGTCAAAATTTGCCGGGATTCCCTTGGCACCCTGGAAAAGTCCTGCAAATACCACACAAAACGGGAAAGGGTAGGAACAACTTTGCGGGTCAAAATTTGCCGGGATTCCCTTGGCACCCTGCAAAAGTCCTGCAAATGCCACACAAAACGGAAAAGGGTAGGAACAACATTTGCGGGTCAAAATTTGCCGGGATCCCCTTGGCACCCTGCAAGAGTCCTGCAAATACCACACAAAACGGAAAAGGGTAGGAACAACATTTGCGGGTCAAAATTTGCCGGGATCCCCTTGGCACCCTGCAAAAGTCCTGCAAATGCCACACAAATCGGAAAAGGGTAGGAACAACATTTGCGGGTCAAAATTTGCCGGGATTCCCTTGGCACCCTGCAAAAGTCCTGCAAATACCACACAAAACGAAAAAGGGTAGGAACAACATTTGCGGGTCAAAATTTGCCGGGATCCCCTTGGCACCCTGCAAAAGTCCTGCAAATGCCGCACAAAACGGAAAAGGGTAGGAACAACATTTGCGGGTCAAAATTTGCCGGGATCCCCTTGGCACCCTGCGAAAGCCCTGCAAATGCCACACAAATCGGAATAGTGTAGGAACAACATTTGCGGGTCAAAATTTGCCGGGATTCCCTTGGCACCCTGCAAAAGTCCTGCAACTACCACACAAAACGAAAAAGGGTAGGAACAACATTTGCGGGTCAAAATTTGCCGGGATCCCCTTGGCACCCTGCAAAAGTCCTGCAAATACCACACACAACGGAAAAGGGTAGGAACAACATTTGCGGGTCGGGGTTGGGGGGTCAGGAATTAAATAATTTAAATAATTTAAATACCCCAGGGGGGGCGTCCGGGCATTTAAATTATTTAAATTATTTAATTCCCCGGCTCGTACTTTAGTATTGGGGGGAGGCCCGTGCTCGTAATTCAGTATTGGGGGGAGGCCCGGGCTCGTAATTTAGTGTTGAGGGGGAGGCCCGGGCTCGTGATTTAGTATCGGGGAATTGAAAAATTGATTTCATTTCAATGTCCAGGGGCCCGATTTGGCCAAATTTTGCCGGGCAGCCTCCGGGCAAAATTTGGCCAAATCGAGCCGCGCATTTCTCATGGCATACGAAGGGCAGCCCGATTTGGCCAAATTTTGCCCGGAGGCTGCCCGGCAAAATTTGGCCAAATCGAGCCGCGATAGTTTAAAATAATCTCGGGCCTTCAGAAAGGCGCGGCTCGATTTGGCCAAATTTTGACCGGAGGCTGCCCGGCAAAATTTGGCCAAATCGGGCCCCTGGACATTGACATGAAATCAATCTTTCAATTCCCCGATACTAAATCGGGGGGGGGCCAGGCCCGACCAGGCCCCCCCCCGGAATTAAATAATTTAAATAATTTCAATCCGAAAGGGGTGTTCAGGATTTAAATTATTTAAAATATTTAATTCTGGGAGAGGGAGGGGGCCCGGTGGGCCGGGCCCGATTTAAATAATTTAAATATGAAGCTCCCGAATTAAATATTCATATTTAAATCGTGGCCTTCATATTTAAATTATTTAAATCGGGCCCGGGAATTAAATAATTTAAATAATTTAAATAATTTAAATCCTGGAGGGGGGGGGGCGGGCCTCCTCCCCCAGGAGGAATTAAATAATTTAAATATGAAGGCCTCGATTTAAATATGAATATTTAATTCGGGGCCTTCATATTTAAATTATTTAATTCCTCCTGCAAAAGGAGGCCCGGCCCCCCCCCCCTCCCGGATTTAAATTATTTAAATTATTTAAATTATTTAAATTATTTAATTCTCGGGCCCGATTTAAATAATTTAAATATGAAGGCCACGATTTAAATATGAATATTTAATTCGGGAGCTTCATATTTAAATTATTTAAATCGGGCCCGGGAATTAAATAATTTAAATAACTTAAATAATTTAAATAATTTAAATAATTTA